AAGAAGCCAACAGATGTTAAGAGTTTGCTGTGATCCCTGGGTGGCACTAACCAGTCAAGAGATTGGTGGTCCCAGCCCACCCACGGACACCTCAGCAGACAGGGCTGGTGGTCTCATTCTGTAAGGCCACAGCCTTGACAACCCCAGCAGTTCTAATCTGCACACATGGGGCCACCATGGATCAGATTGGACTTGATGGCAAATCCAACCCAACCCAAACTCACAACCTTCGAGTCAATTCTGATTGAGCGCAACCCTACAACAGCAAAGCCAAAGCAAAACCATTGCCCCAAGTAGATTCTGATGTGCAGCAGTGTATAAGACAAAGTAGAATTGCTCCTTAGACTTTATGAGAGCAAACAGCCTCATCTTTCTCCCAAAGATCCACTGGTGGGCTTGAACTGTTGACCTTGCTGTTAGCAGCCCAGGGCCTAATTCCACAGCATCATCAGGGATCCTTAACAACAAACAATAAGAATTTGAGAACAATTTTTCATAACTTTAATGGGCCTGGAAGGAGTGAGTAGTGCCCTGATAAAGCTCAGCACATTTGTATTCTGCTCACTGCCGCAGGTTTCCGCATCTTCGGGAAGGCTGATTGCATTATAAAACGTGCAGGAAGAGACAATCTCCTACAGAGGAGAGGGCATCAGCATTTAAAGCTGGCCTCTCCTTCGACGGAAATGCACTTTGGTCTTTTTATTATCAACGCAAGCATAAAATTGAATAAATAAATAACCTTGGAAGTGCTCTTGGCAGTTTGTGCTTCTAATTACTTTCAAATTTACTTTTTCACATGGAAAAGCCAGTCTTGTTATTTTAAATGACTTCAGATGGTCCCTTCCTGTTACTGTGTCAGTTTTTAGCCATCTCCTCATTGCTGGGCACTTGAGAGGGTGACCAGGTTTTCACTATTGTACTAATAGTGCTTCCGTGAGTAATCAGTGGATGCTGGCCAGAGACAAAACCCTTCTTCTTTTAAGCAAGTTCCTGGAAATGGAACTAGACCAGGTCAGACACGATCCCTTTCTGTAATGTATCGCCAACATTCTCTGAGGGTAATTTTTTTTTAAAGCACCTACCAAGTTTGGGGTTTATCTCTATAAGTTACATTTGTTCGTAATCACAGATATATACTAAAAATCTTGTTTTAATTATTATTTGAAATGTTTGCTTTTCTGGTGAAGTGGTATTTTGCCTGTAATCTAAGCCAGGGGTGGAAAAACCTTTTTTTCTGCCCAGGGCCATTTGTATGTTTATAACATCATTCTCTGGCTGTATTGACCAAGCATTGAATTAACTCACCCCTAACTGATGGGACTGCTTCTCTTTAGTGGGGTTGTGATGTTAACTGGCATTGAGGATTGCAGGCCTCAGACGGCCCACGGGCCAGGCATCCTCCCTCCTTGGACTTGAGCCCGGCTGTTACTTTACCCTAGAGACTCTAGGTACTGTTCTTATGCACTTTCACCAATTCTTCACATATTGTGAAGAAGAAGCTCTCAAAAATTCATATCACAGATAATTTTGAAAAAACAACAAAAAACTAAACCAAACTCATAGCCATCAAGTTGACTCTGACTGATAGCTACCCTACAGGGCAGGGTAGAGCTGCCCCTGTAGGTTTCTGAGACCGTAGCTCTTTACAGAAATAGAAAGCCTGGTAGAATTTTCACCTGCCACGTGGGAGGCCTGGGTTTGTGTCTTGGCCAGTGCACCTCAGGAAGTGGTGGCCGTGGAGGGATGGTACATCCACTCTCTGTTAATGGAGTAGCCTACGCCGTTTGTACTGGGCGAGGTCCACTAGGCTGTGGAGGTATCCCACAGCAACGACCACTTCCTGGTGATGGCCCATACAGGGATTGGTTTGAACAAGACCTCTGACCTTTTTCCCCTTCAGCTTGGTGTCCTTCGGGGCTTGCTCCAACTTGTCTACGGCCATACCACTCTGAACGTGCCCGATCTTGTCTGATCTCTGAAACTAAGCAGGGTCGGGCCTGGTTATACTTGGATGGGAGACTGCCTGGGAATACCGGGAATACAGTCAGTTGTCTTTCTCCCTAGGAGCAGCTGGTGGTTTCAAACTGCTGAGCTTGTAGTTAGCAGCCCGATGCATGAACACTGTGCGGGCTGTAATAGCTACTGTTTATCAAGTGTTTTCTAGCTGCTCCTGGGTCTTGTCAGCTCTCACTCAGTTGGCCCCAGATCCACAGAGGAAAGTGCTGCCCATTCCTGCACCATCCCCATGATCAGGAGCGATCCAGGGTGTTTTCTTTGGCTGTTGTCAAACTGTGTAACCCCTCTCTGCCTCAGTTTCTCATTGCAGGGAACATTTTTGTCTCTCCAACCTTTGTGATCTGTTTCTGTGAATGGCAGCACTACTTGGGATAGGACCCAATCAAAACCAGTTAGCTACCTGGCTGTGATGACACTGGAGTCTGGGACAGACTCTTGGTTTCATAGGAATTGGTATCGCAGCTGCTGTACAGGATTTCGAGTCTCTAGGAAGCCCGTCTTCTCCTTACCAAAAACGACAACTTATCTAGCCAGTAAGCCAACTCTGCCAGGCTGAGGGGTGCCCGGGGCAAGGGTCTGGCCTGTGCAGCTGTTATCCTGGGCACCCAAGCAGCTGGAGACAAGCAGAGCTGAGTCAAGGCCGAGCAGAGTGCTCACCGGGAGAGAGTTTAGAGTTCTCGTGGACACTGGAGAAGCCCAGTCTGTGGGCAAGCCTGGGGGCAAACTCAGGGTGGGAAGTGAGGAACCAGGGGAGCGGGGTGCTCAAAAGCGGCTCACGCTGCAGCCTGGGTTAGAGAGGCACTGCTGTCTGTGGGAGTTTGGGCGGGAAAGCCAGAGAGCTACAAACAGAGAAAGTGCTGTTTGGCCTGGCTGCCTTCCAAGGGTCAGTCTAGCTCTAGCACACAGTTACTTTGGTGCCTGTCTTTCTGGAAGACGTTAATGTCTGCATGTTTTAACTTGTGCTTTTCTATGCTGGGATCCTTTCCTTGCTGATCTTGGGAGTATCCTTTTGACACCCATATGCGCAAGCCAACAATGGGTGGGCTTTTCACAGGCCCCGAGTCTTTGCTGACTCACAGTGGCCCTGTGGGGCAGAACTGCCCCTGTGAGTTTCTGAGCCGGAATGCTTTCTCCCAAGCAGCAGTTGGTGGTCTTGCACAACTGACCTTGCGAATTCTAGCCCACTGTGTAACCATGACACCACCAGGGCTCCTTGGCAAAGTAATGATAACTAAATTAATTTTGTTGTACTTTAGTAATTGCACTTGTTTGGCTGAAGAATTCTAATGATACCTTTATCCTATGGTCCAAGACCAGATAATAATGTTCACGCTAGCATGCAAGGAATTGTTTTTCATAAATGCATGAGTATGTCGTGCTTGGTTCTTGGTTTAAAAACCGTGTTTTTATATTGCACCTCTAGGAACGAGATGTATAAAGAAGCAAACCCTGTATTGGGAGAAGGGGGTTGGGAGGTTGAGGCTAAGGGCTTTCGAGATGGGTTTTCCAGTTCCCATCCTAAGCCTGCCACTTGCTGGCTATGTGGGGTTGTCATCTAGCCTCCTAGAGCATTGACTTCCCCATATGTAACTAGAGCAGGGCGCTTAGGGAGTGATGGTGAGGTGTATTTAAATGAGATGTACTCTTTAAGCTCTCAGCTCAGCACTTTGTGCTCAGCTATGCACCACCAATAGGGGTCCTGCTGATGGTGAGGCTTTTAGATGCATGCTAGTTTAAGGTGGTGTCGTGGGTTAAGCATTGGGCTGCGTAAACCACAATGTCAGCAGTTCGAATCCACCAGCTGCTCTGCAGGACAAAGATGAGTCTTTCCATTCCTGTTAATAGTTACCATCTCAGAAATCCCCGGGGGCCGTTCTACCCAGTCCTGTAGGGTCCCTGAGTCCGAATCAACTCAATGGCAGTGAGTTTGGTTCTTAAAGTTTTTATTTTGAGGCATGAGATTTCTGTCTCTTCACATGTCAGCATATTCTTTGGGTCTGCAGCTTTTCAAACCTGTAATGGTGAATAGGTACCGTGGGGTTGAAGTTTTCATCCCAGCCGTGTTTGTCCCCGGGTGACATAATGCTTTTGTGACCTTAATTTGACTTGTTGACACTCTTGTTTCATGTATGCAATAAAGCGAAGCTGAGACCCCCACCGATCCGATCTTTGCCAGGGAGGGCACAGGGCTCTCGGGGAGAGTAGGGCAAGGGCATGGAACCAGCTGGATTAGTGGGCGGTGGGGGTGGGGTGAGGAAACTAAGACAAGGATGTCCTCGCTGTTCTTAGGGATTTAATGACCTCACAGGAGAGAACAAATCCGGCGCCTGCAGAATAAATACACAGATTTCGTTCTGGTCTCTGGTCACGCAGGGAGGTAATTTTCGGTTTTCACTAGGCGCCATTAATCAGAAGGTACTATTGTGTTGGCTCTTTAACACGTGCACACATACCCCACCTAGGAAACCTTCTTTGTTTGCAAGGCTCTTTACCTTGTTAACACCTTTCGTTTGCCACATTTCCAAGTCGCTTATGCTGGGCTTTGTTGAAAGGCCGATCTGGTTGCCCGACTCCCATCTGCTCCCAATCCTAATTATGCTAGCCTCCCTGGCAGTGCCTGCTTCATTGGGCTCCAGGGACCCTGCCCCATTTTCCACGGCTAGATAAAGCTGTCCGAGTCAGCCTGTGAAAAGAAAGGTGAGGAGCCTAACGTCAGATGCTGTCTTTGTCTGGGCGATTGCCTGCCTTCCATCAGCCCTAGAACGTTCTCCATGGTGATGTAGTTGAGAATGTGGGCTGTGGGAGCAAAGCCAGTCTGCTAGTGTTGGTCACACATTTGTCTGAGCCAGTGTCTGTGGACCCTACTCATCCTTGCTACCTGCCCGTCACTGTTTCCTCCGCCCCAGAGCTCCGTCTTTCCCTGGAGGATGCCTCTGTTTTCAAGTACGTGCCTTGAATGCATTGTCTTCTCTCTCTGCCTGCAGGGGAGTTGCTGAGCCAGCCCAGACCAGAAGGAGTGGCCGAGATCATTTGCCCCAAGAACGGCAGCGAGCGAGTGAATGTTGCCTTGGTTTACCCACCTACACCGACTGTGATCAGTCCCTGTTCCAAGTGAGTGCTCACATGGGCGCCGGTCCTGGCCCTTCCTCCTGACCCAGCCTCAGAAGATGGAATTAGAAAAGCCATGTTAGCCATAATCTCAGCAAAATAGGAACTTTTTACTTTCTCTTTTCACGATTTCTTCCTCCCTCCCTTTTTTTTTTTAACCCTTGCTGATAAAAGTCAGGCGGGTTTGATGGGCAGTCTTAATTCCATCCCTATGAATAGGTTAAAGGAGCCCTGGTGGCGTACGTAGTGGGTAATGTGTTGGGCAGCCATCCACAAGGTCAGCAGTTCAAAACCACCCGGTGACCCTTGGGAGAAAGAAAAGACTTTCTACTCCCATAAAGAGTTACAGTCACAGAAACCCACAGGGGAAGTTCCACCCTGCCCTATCAGGTCACTATGAATTAGATTTGACTTGATAGCAGTGATTTGTGTTTTTGTTTGCTTTTTGTTGATGAGAAGGTTGGTTCTTGCTTGGGTGTTTGGCTTCTCCATATACATGTTGGTGGCAATCAGGCTGTGCAAATTGCTGCTGTTTTCCTCACAATGAATCTAGAGGATAGGGAATGTGCACACGCAGACGGGTTTTGGAGAGGATGCTTGCATAGTGTTCGGGTAGCTGGGGATTTGGGATAGTGCTAAGAATCGAAACAGGCCACTCTGAGGAATTCACTTTTAACCTCAAACCTTGAAAAGTAACTATCACAGATCTTCTTGGAACACATCTTGGTATCTGAGTGACCTCCGCAAACAAAATAAAGGCCTCCCGCAAATACTTATCTCTCTTTCTAGTCAGCCACGTAGGATCTTCGTGTCCACGTGTGTGCTCCTTATAGGGGGTCAGAAGTTCCGGATTCGCGAGCAGCAGCGTGTCACCTCTTCTGTGGCTGTGTTCCGGGGAGCTCAGGGCTCTCGTGCCCTTGATGCCCGCCCTGAAGAGAGGGGCAGTGCTGGCCTTCTCATCCATAAGCAGCGGCAGAAGAAGTGATGTGCCGCTTTTAGCCAAACTGGGTGGCGATGTACACTGAACACCCCTTATCCATCTTGGCTGGAAAATCACGCTTAACACCCAAGGGGAACCCTTACCTGGTGTGCTTCTGTTCGAAGTGCTGTGTTTGCTAACGTGCACACAGCACAGTGCACCCTCAGCAGGGCCCTGGGACACTGATCCGGAAGTGCTTCTGAATTGCTAGAGTAGGGTTATGAATTGGCAAGTTTGCATTACCCACGTCACTGCTAGGCCTGAACACATTAAACAGCAGAACGGTGACTGCTGTTTGAATTAGCGCACATTGGTCTCTCTGTTTCAGGTATCCCTCAGGCACGTAAGGATGAGGGACATTATACGAGGAGAGTATGGAACAGAGGGAGACAGCTGTTCAGTTCACTTTCTGTGGATACAGGTTATCCTGAGTCAGCAAGGAGCTTAACCGTTTGTTCTACCCTAACGAAGTGCCATTGGAGAGGCGACACAGCAGTTGGAGTCATACAGTCCACAGTCCCTTTGGACAAGAAACCGCAGCAGCATCCAGCCTTCTTTGAACCGCCCTGCAGGCTTCCTGTCCTGTCACAGAAAGCCCACAGTTAGGTTGAACTGTCAGCCAGCACCTTTAAAGCTGGGTCCTCAGGGCACATCTGCAGAGACATCTGTCTGGATGCTAGAGGGGAGGCGGTTAGGGATCAAACTGCTTTCGACCTAGGGGCAAGGAAATAACTCAGAAATGGATGGCAGGTTTGGAATGTAATTCTCAGCTGTAAGTGGTGGCGTGTTTTCTAAAGTAAAAAATGTCTCATTTCTAATCAGAACTGACTTGGAAATGGTCATTGATCTAAGCGTGCGCTTGCAGTCGAAGCCCCCGTTGGTGCGATCCCTTCTCATCTGCCCCTCCTTACACATAGACCTCACATGGCACATGGGTGAAAAACAACGACAAGGAAACATAGAGGCCATGCTGGGCCCAGGGAAGTTCCCGCTTACCAGTGGGCACACACGGGACTGGAATCAGGAGATTTGGGGACCGAATAGGGACCAAAGGCAATTTAGGCCTGAACCTGAGAATAAGACTTGGGTCCAAGCAGCCACTAGAAATGGGGTGAGTCAGGCTATCATAGTGGCTTTGCAACACCAACCAAGTTACCTTAAGCAGGCCACCATCACATGTATGAACCTTTCCCTCATTGCCATCCTTTTTGCATTAAGTGGCTTGGGGTCATAGCTGACCGCCTGAGGCTTCTCCATTGCCTGGAGGCAGGGGTCAGTCCTGCCTCCACATTTCATGCTTTTTTACCTTTATTCTGACAGTGAACGGTCCTTCTGTGCTGGATTCAATGGTTTGTTGCAATGGCCACACAGAGCTCAGCTAACAGTTAGGAGGGCTTATTGGGGGTGGTGGGGGGTGGTTAATAGCTCACCACAAGTCCGAATCAACAAATAGCAAGGACACAGTCATTAGTTCACAGCACACCTCTCCCCAGCCAGCAGCAGCCACGTTCCTCTCTGGCCCTCGTCTCTCAGCAACAGTCCTTTGTCTTCTGCCTCTTGGAGACCAGGAGCCGGCCCGCATGTCCCTCTTGTCCCTCAGCCCCTCACAGTGCCATAGTCTTGGGCCAGAGGAGGAGAAGGCACCTCCAAGTCAAGGGCTGCTCCCTGAGTCTCACACTACAGCCTCTGGTCTGGGTCCAACCCTTTCAGACAGATGCAAGGGAGCATACTCTTCCGAGGGCCCTGACTTCCTCTGTGTCTGTGACGGCTCTTAGCCAGAGGAATGACTTTGATGGAAATAAGGCTTTTGGCTTTTAGCAGAGGATGACCCCGAGGACACATGGGTGTGATTTGATTTACACCCTCTACTAAGATCGGGACTTAACCCCACCTCAGTCCTGCCCATTAGCATAGCAAAGAATTCCCTCCAAAATGGGATTATAGCAGAGTCCAGAGTTATAAGACATCACAAAGGAATTATGGCTACGAGGGCCATATTAATGGGCTGCCTCTCACCATTAAGCCTAGCTAGATGGACAAGGCCAGACTTTATTAATCAGGCATGTACATTAGAGTTTTCGATGGGAGAGGCCAGGCATGATTCCTTTCAAACAAAATGCCCTGATGATTCAAAGGAGGGTGTGCACCCTCCGATTTCCTAGTCCTTCAACTCACTTCCCCGAGCATGGGCTCCCTGGCCAGGAGGTCTTATCCTTGACTCTGGGAACTGTGGTCCAACATCAAGTGACAGTGCCAAGGCAAAACTGGTTCACGGTGCATGGCAGTTGGCACAATCCATCCTACCCCTAGGCATGGAACATAACACTCTTAATTCAAATCAGGAAAGGACTCCGTGTGACAGGAAGGCTGGTAACAATCGTGCTGGCACAACAGGCTGGAGCCAAACCATAGTAATCACCCTACTCCTAAGTCAGGGATTTCAGCCTGGCTAGTTCTTGTAGTTAGGCCCCAGTGAGTTGGATCGGACTCCTGTTGACTCTGTTTGGGCACTGGAATAAAGCACCACCTGGGCCTGTACCATCCTCACAATTGTTACGTGTGATCTCATTGTGGGGCTCACTGTATCAGTCCATTTCTTCAAGATCCTCTTTTTCACTACCCCCCACTTTACCAAGCACAATAGCCTTTCCCAGGAGCCGATCTCTCCTGGTAAGATGTCCAAAGTAGATGTGCCAAAATCTTGACATGCTCTGTTCTGTGAGTCATCCTGGCTGTATTTCTGTCAAGACAGATGCAGTCATTCTTCTGTCAGTCTGTGGTACCTCCTTCGCCAGCCCCTTAGTTCCACAGCGCCATTCTTCGTAGGTCTGCCTTCCTCTTTGTCCATCTTTCACACGCACGTGAGGCAAGTGAAAAGCCGTGGCGTTGGTTCACCGCACCTTAGCCTTCAGAGCGACACCTTGCTCTTGCACGCTTTAAAGAGGTCTGAAGATTTGCACAGCGGAATACATAGTTTAATTTCCTGACTGCTGCTTCCAATGCCATGGGTTGTAGGTCCACGTAAAATTAAATTCTTGACAACTTCAGTCTTTGCTCCATCTGTCATGATACTGTCCGCTGGTCCACTTGTAAGCAGTATTTCAAGTTCTCCTTTATAGGTGAAATCCAGGATTTAGTGTTTTGTTGTTGTTTTCAACGTGACTCCTTCTATAACTAGTCTCAGTAGTTGGTAGTGAAGTGCCTCCCCAGGGCCCCCGACCCCCAGGGGGAAACTGGGGAGCTGGGTGACTTCTTGCCCTCAGCTGGTTATTGGATAGAAATGTGAGTCCCTTCGAAGGGATCAGGTATCCGGCATCATCAGAACAAAAAAATCTTACCATAGCAAATGAGGGGGGAAGTGCGGAGTGGAGACCCAAAGCCCATTTGTAGGCCACTGGACATCCCCTTGCAGAGGGGTCTCAGGGAAGAAACGAGCCAGTCAGGGTGCGATGTAGCAACAATGAAACATACAACTTTCCTCTAGTTCCTAAATGCTTCCTCCCCCTTCCCCCCCCCCCCCGCTATCATGATCGTATTCTACCTTGCAAGTCTGGCTAGACCAGAGGATGTGCACTGGTGCAGATGGGAACTGGAAACAAGGAATCCCTTCAGGACTAGTGGTGTGAGTGATGATACTGGGAGCGTAGAGGGAGAGTGGGTGGAAAGGGGGAACCGATTACAAGGATCTACATGTGACCTCCTCCCTGGGGGATGGACAACAGGAAAGTGGGTGAAGGGAGATGTCGGTCAGGACAAGATATGACAAAATAATAATTTATAAATTTATCAAGGGTCCATGAGGGAGGGGGGGCAGGGAGGGGAAAAATGAGAACCTGATACAGGGGCTTAAGTGGAGAGGAAATGTTTTGAGAATGATGAGGGAAATGAATGTACAAATGTGCTTTACACAATTGATGTATGTATGGATTGTGATAAGAGTTGTATGAGCCCCTAATAAAACAATTTACAAAAAAAAGAAAGAAATGTGAGTCCTTTTCACAGTCAGCAGTCGGGCTGTTTTTCAAGGATATTGGTTTTGAATCTGTGTCGGAGGAGATGGAAATTGGCCTGGTAGTGAATTTGCCTGGGTTGCTGTGAACGATCGTGACTTCCTTGAGGAAGGGAGCATGTCTGATGCACGTCTTCCTTCAAGTTTAGTTTTGTAACCGGCATACCATCACATGCTCCAGGCAGTGGTCACGTAAGAGAGGCAACTCTGAGCACAGTCCAATTCTAGAACATTTCTGTGACGCCTAAAGGACACTTCCTGCCCATTTATAGTCCCCGGGGTCTGCCATGCCGTCTCAGTAAGGATATTTCATGTCACGGCCGGCAGTAGTTTTGCCACTTGCTACGTGGGCATTAAACAGATTAAGTACAAGTTCTTGTAAATGCGTGTGACCACTGGCAGCCTGCTGTTGGCGCTGTTGGGCACCTTCGGCTTGATTCTGACTCGCAGCAACTCTATTATGACCGAGTAGAACTGCCCCGTGGGCTGTCCTGGGCTGTGACACCAAGTCTTTCTCCACACAGCTGATGAGTGGATTTGCACTTCCATCCTCCTGGTGGTTGAGTGCTTCACCCCTGCACTAGCAGGGGCGTCTTAATCTCTCTCTCACTGCCATCAAGGCATGCGACCCATAGGACAGGCTAGACCTGCCCCTGCAGGTTTCTGAGATTGTAACTGTCCTGGAACAGAAAGTCTTGTCTTTCCCTCGAGGAGCAGCCAGTGGTTTCGGACTGCTGTCTTGGCTTCTCATTGGTCCACCGAAAGGCAGTGAATGCACTTAGACCCCTCCTGCTAGCCCCTGCTCACTGGGGAGAGAGGGCTCTTGGAGCTGCTCTGACAGAGACCAGGACTTGTTGGCTGTTGTCCAGTCACCCGGACTTACGACATGTGTGAGCTGAGAGTTTTCACTGACCAAGTCGATGGGCCTTTCTGAAGTGCCACTGGAGCACAGCAGCAGTATCATCGCAGCATACAGGCCTCGGGTTGCGGGTCGTTGTCTGGGGATTGAGCCCAGGACTCCAGCGGAGAAGGCAAGAATGCTACCACTGATCCTTAGTGGCCGCATAATTGACCCCTAGACATTAGAGGGAAGGGCCCTGGTGGCATGGTGGTTACGAGTTGGGCAGTTCATCCACAAGATCAGTAGTTCGAACCCACCAGCTCTTCCTCAGGGAAAGATGAGGCTTTCTCGTCCGGTAAAGAGTTTGTCCACAGGGGTCAGTTCAACCCTGCCCTGTAGGATGGCCATGAGTTGGAATCAACTCAATGGCAGTGAGTTTTTGGAGACATTGATTTATCTACTGATTTTCATTTAGACCATTGGTTCTCAACCGTCCTAATGCGGTGACCTTTTAATACATTTCCTCATGTTGTAGTGACCTCCCCCAACCATAAAATTATTTTGGTTGCTACTTCCTGTCATTTTGCTACTGCTATGAATCGGGTAACCGGTGTGAAAGGGTCATTCGACACCCAAAGGGGTGTTGAGAACCGCTGATTTAGACAAACTGCAGAGAATTTCACAGGTTAGCATGTGGAGCTATTTTACTCTGAAGCATCCTTAATGCTGCCCCCATTCTTCCACGTGATTTCTTAATGGATTCACCCTTGAACCTGCAGGAAGTCGTAATATACCATTTTATTGCCTACCAGAGGGCCTTTCCCTGTGGCTGTACTGCAGGGTACCTGTGCTCTGCGGCCCCTGTGGAGCGGCAGGGGTTGTCAGAGACCAAAGAGAAGGCCGACCCTGTGCTACAGGATGAGCCCAGAGGGGCTGGTTCGAGCCCTGTTGGGCCAAGTTCCCACTTATGTTACAGAGTAACAGCAGACAGCACACGCTTTCAATGCCACCTTTCAAGCTGTGCCCCGTGGCCTCGTGCCCTCAGGTTCCCCATGAAACAGGACTCATCCACTTCCTCATTGCTGCTCAAAAGCACGATGACTGCTGTGCATGGGGAGCCTGGCAGTTACGTATTTCACCATGCAGGTATGTGAGGTCCCTGAAGACAGCCTTTTGGTTAAAAAGGAAAAAAAGTAGGAAGAAGGCCTTAGGAACAAATAAACAGTCACAGTATGCCCAACCCGGGTTCGTCTGCATAGACTTGTTTGACAGGCAAGGCAGGTGGGCCGTAAGGCCAGAAGAATTTGGCTTTGTCGTGTTTGAGAATTTCTCGCTGACCTTGGAAGTTGAAGTGAGGAGGGTGGGGATGGACTTTTGTAAGGCTACGTGGGAAGGCCACCCCTGGGTGTACATCATCGAGTCTTACGGAGGTGCTTGAATCTTTGCAAGGAGCAGACAGCTTGTTGCGCGCTACTTCACAGACTGAGGGGGGTTGCGATTCTTAAATGATTCAGTCTCCCATCAGGCATTGAAATCCCCGAGTTCCACTTCTGGACCTCCACTTGTGGAGCTCCACTTCTGGAGTTCCACTTCTAGCCCTCCACTTCTGGACCTCCACTTCTGGAGTTTGAATCTTGGCCATTTCCTTCTGCTCGGACTGCGGACAGACCACAGTGGTGTTTATTTCATGGGTTAGTGATGAGCATTTAGACCATTGCAGGTGAGACATGTTGCATAATTTTTACCATATAAAAATAGGCATGCCATAAACTTTGGCCCCTGACTTCTGGGGATCCCAGTGGAACCAGGCGCCCCACGTCCCCAGGATGGAACCAATTTGGT